AAACTGTAGATTTAGAATAAAGATGCTGCAAATCTACTTTTTACATGATTCATAGTTGAGAAAAGTTAAATCCAGATATATAATACTACATATTTAATTGTGAGATACTCATGGAAACAAAATGTCAACACAAGTCAACTAAAAGTGAATATCATGAGTTTCAAATTAAAAAAAAAAAAAAAAAAAAAAAAACTGGTTGAAACAAATTACATGATGGTATAAAGTCAGGTTAAAAAATCTTGTGTTATTATCATAACAAAGTTTAAATAAATACTGTGCACTGTAAATCAGGCGATTAATAATATATGAACAAACTCCTCATAAAATCCATCAGAATATTGACAGGAAACAAAATGAAGAAATTGATGTCACAAATTTAACAGAAAGATTTCTGGCTCAGTGAAGAAGAAAAAGTTATTTCAACAAAGATATGAGTTTTAAAAAAAATCTGTGCTTCATATTTAAAACCACTATCTATGTTTGAGCACAGATATCACTATGAAACATTCCTATTTACATATTTATTTGATGTTCAACCTCTTAAGACCTGACGTCCACATGTATAGACATCATATTTTGGATTATATTACCACAGTAGTAGATTTTTTAAAATTATTCTTATTATTGTATTATTAATATTTTGATTTTATTTTTTGTATTTTTGATTTTTGTTCTATATTTTTAAAATATATTTTTGTTTTCTTTATATACACATATATATATAGTTCTTTGTTTTGTTTTGTTTTTTTTAGTTCTCCTTGCTTTTAGATCAGAACAAATAGCAAAGAGAAATGAAAAAAATTCATATCAAACAAGAGCTTGGGTCTCAAGAGGTGGACAACATGAATTCGACGTTATCTAATATAATATGCAAAAATGTGCATACATCTGAAATAGACAAAGTGCATTAAGATCAACACTTTAATGTCTATTTTGGATATTTTCTTCCCACCAGTCTGATTGAAGACAAGTTATGGAAACAAAATCGCCCAAAAGCCTCAAAATTGACCAATAGATGAAAAAACTGTTGTTACCTGCAGTGTCATTTAACTGTTTTATTTGTTTTTTCCTTTTTTAACCGTCTCTTAGGAATGATGAAATTTACCAACAGAGATGTAGAGCTGTATAGAAAATACATGAAACCTTTATAAAAATGTATAAAAACATTGATTTGAGTCATAAAGCTTTAATCTAAATGGAAATTGATCTGAAATACTGAATTTCATTGATTATTTATCAAATGTGTGGTTATGTTTTGAGTCCAGAGGGTTAACAGTTGTAGAAAACATGTTCCCACAGCCTGAACAACTTTGTCCATCTGCTGTCATTGTCTTTGTTGTGTAGCGCCACCTACTGGACCTTCTGTAGACTGTTGAAGCTCAAACTTCACATGGACACACAGTGGTGCTCTGATGACACGTTGCTGCCAGCGTTCATGTTGTCTCTGCTCCACTTGTCTGTTGATTTGGGACAGCAAGGCTTGAAACTCTCGTTTGACACAACAGATGAGCTCAGGGAAAAGCTGACAAGTTTAGGATGAGAACATGGAAATGCTGCATGAAGCTCATTGGACACAGAAGTCTGGATTATCCACACATTCAACTCTAGTTCCAATGAAAAGGGTATTTCTCTGTGTTGTTGACCACATGACTCTACACAGCAGGTTTATCAGTCGACAGGAATAATGACTCTGAGAGTCACTTCTGCCTCAAGCAGCAGATCAATCAGGGTTCATAAACTGACTTTCATCCAGGAACATGAATCAGAAAAGGCAGCAAACTAACACTGGACATGAAGGTTCACTTTCAGGCTGAACAATTCCACTGATTCATTATTTCTGTGTATTTGACTTTGATTTCACTCATTATTCTGACTTGCTTTGGACTAAATTGCCAATAAAATGACAGATGTAATGTGAGCAGTATCTTTACAGAGTCAAGTAACTGGTCTGATTACTTTGTGCTAAAAGTAGAGCAGTGGAAGATCAGAAGTGAGTCTGGTGTTGGACACTTTGATACGTCAGGTGATGTGTGTGATTGTGTTGTTTTGTTCCTCACAGGTGTGCAGTGATGATGATGATGATGATGATGATGATGATGATGATGATGATGATGATGATGGACTTTGAGCCTTCTGCGTCTGTTAAACTCCACTGATCCACATCAACTTCACATATATTTGCAGCAGTTGTTGAACGTTTTAGAAGATTTCTTCCAGCTGATTCATTTTATCTCTCTCCTCACCTGTTTAAACTTCCCTTATTGGTTCCTCAGTATATATATGTCACCGTCCAAATTCAAAATCCAGGCAAATTTTTAATCTTCCTTTGTAGAATTAAAGTTTGACCACAGCAAATTAAAAATCACAATTAAATCAGAATTATAAGATTGATTTTACCTAGACCAAATGAAAATCATTCATATATATGGAGTGTTTGTACCAGTCTAGTGTGACTGTTAGACAAAGATGTATCACAGCTCTTCATATGTATCTGAATGAACATGTTGGTGTGACCCTTTGATGGTTACAGCATTAATGAATGTGAGCTTCACACCATGGTGAAGTGTGGAGATTATATCAGATGAACTCCTTGCAGTGTGTCACACCTCACTATATATTTGTCACAGTCCAAAGTCAAATTTGCCGGGGCAGGATTACAATCTCATTACGATATGAGAAGGATTTTAATTTGGTCAAGGCAAAATCAAAATTTAAACTTTCCTAGGCAGATTTAATTTGGACTGTGATAAATATATTCAACCGACTCATCACCAGGTTGTGTTTGTGCACTTTGCCAGAGCTTTTCAGCATCCACGGCCTGTTTGTTCCTTATTTTTGACCTTAGCTTTTAAATATACAGTTCTACTATTTGTTTTGTGATTTCTTTGTGTATGAACAGTGTTTTTATAGTATTTTACACTGTGGATGTCCTGCTTCTGCTGATAATAAACCTTCCGTCTGTTGAACCTCTTTGCTCTCATGTCTACTACAATGTGTCTAAATGAAAGAAATGACCACCTCATGAGCAGGAGTCCAACCCACACTTCATGGGTCGCCTGCTCAACTAGGTGAGCTATCGGGGCGCCCTACAGGAGAGGAGTTTGAACCTGAAACTTCATACATGACCTCGATATGGTCCCTTCTCAGACTGATTAGATTTTGGGGTCAATACATGCATTGGTGAGCGCTACAGAGGTCAAAGGTCGTATTTCCCAAAAACAGTTCTGTATGACTGAAAATACACAAAAAGACATAAGTTTAGTATCCTAACTTAGGAAGACATGCGAGGCCTATAAACTGGTGATGTAACATATGACCTGGAGACAAAGGTCAAGGTCACACTAGAGGTCTTAAATCATCACAAATTTTAAATCCATTATAACTTGGAAAAGGTGTACGATAAACATATAGTTTCTTATTGCAGTCAGATAGGAACCCGTATTGGTGATGTGACATTTGACATAAATCTTAGGTGCTTAGCTGGAGGCGGAAATTACGGAAAAACTCTTTCCCTCCATGCAAACTATCTGTGTTACATGACAGACTAAGCTCTACTTTATGGATCATTTTAAGGCAAAATCAAGGCAAGTACCTCCTCAAGTAGGCGCACAGGAAAACACAGAATCAGGTAAATATGCACACATTGGGCAACTATGTCCCTCTACTGAGGGTCTCTAGTATTTTTTTTTCTTTTTTTGAGAGTTGCTATTTGTTTTATCACTACAAATAAACAGCTTCCTATTTTGCAGCACATTTTTTCCCAGCCTGATGTTTGTCCTCCACATGCCTCACAACACTACCTACACCCTCCTGGCAGCAATGAGTGATTCTCTTCTGTATGAGTGTGTTTCTAAATGTGAAAACTGTTTGTGTTTTTGAGGTGTGTCTGGTCATCATTAGAGGCGGTAACCTCCAGGCTCTGCTGCTGTTGTAACCACATTCTCACCAAAACGCTTCCCCCTCAGTTCTCAGAAAAGCACATCAGAAATACAACCAGGAACTAACAGGTCTCAGTCCATCTTATCTGAGTGCTGCATCTTTTGCACCAAGAGTCCGTTTGTGGTTGGTGATGAGTTTGACTCTTCACTTGTCCAACTTTAGCAACATGAGTCCTGTGTGTTTTCTAATAAACATTATCTACAGACAAGAAGAGCTGCTTTACATTTGTCTTCACTAAGAATTGTAATGGAAATGTATTGTCTTGATATACCCTGATAGTAAGTTGTTTTGTAAGAACTTACACATATGCTGATAGTGTCTTTGTGTCAGCCACTGTTTTAGCTTAAGAGGTCATTCTTTGGCCACAAGGCTCCCAGCAATCAAAGTTCTGTGGCCGTCTACTTCCCTGTTTGACAGTAAGGTATTTCTAATAACTGGCTGCTGCAGGATGTTTTGTACTTCGACTTTCTTCTCCTCTTCCTCCCTTTTGTAGGATCTAATAACGGTCTTTGTTCATTTCAGACAGAGATCTCTGGTCACATACACACTCCTTCATGCTTGTTAGGATGATCCTGTCTATGCCTACATAAGACTTGGCACTTTGTAACCACGCTTCAGACGTCACTCTGCAGTTCTCCTGCAAAGGGATTTCTCTTGTGCACAAAAAAGGAAGACCAAGAAGTGTGTTTATCATGTTGTAGCCTCCGCAACACAATCCTCAAACACTCGTCCATTTCTTCTTTCTGAGATGTCAGATCCACTGTGGGACTGGACACAATGTGAACTGATTTCATGTGCTTTTCCTGTCACAGCATCATGTCTCAAACTGAGCTCTAAATGTCAGAATAAGTTTCTTTTCTGTTGTCCATCCTACATACTCATTGCAGTTTACAGGGTGGTTGTCAGCCTGCTGTGATCCTGATCTCTTTGTTGTTGGTTGGTTCTATTGTTGATCAAGATTGTTGATCAAGAAATTAATGTCAGGAATGTAACTTTTCTTCTCTGTGTATAGATTTTTAAAGCTGTAGTGCAGGACATTTCAGTATAAATGAACGTCTGTTTCATTACAGTTCAAACAATGCGGATTCAGCTGATCGGCAACAGGTCCAGAAAATCTCCTTTTGGAGTAAACCAAAAATCTGCTGCCTGTGTCGACATTCCCGCGCTGGTTTACTGGTAGTCATGCATCTTTTATCAAGCAGCAGTGATTGGTCTGTAGAGCTGAAGAGAGGAGCAACTGTAGTGATGGAGCAGGCTAGGAGGGGTATGGAGGTGTCTCTGGAGGAGAAGTGTCTGAGAAAAGTTTCTGATCAAGTTCCTGAACTCGGGATTTGGAGGAAGGATTACAGTCTTTGGTGAGGCAGCTTTCATTGCAGGTGCTGGAGGAGGGGACTGAAAGACAACGTGGACCCAGTGTGTCCCAGCACTCATTCTTTAACATGTTCTGGGAACTCAGTTGTTGCTGCTGCTCTGATCTCTGAGACACACAGTTTGGTTTGGTTGGCTGATGGCTGGCTCCTGTTTCTGCACCATAAAAAGATTCCATTCACCATTTTTTCACACATGCACTAATTAATACTACTGATCAGACTGATGTCACTTTAAGGTCTTTTGTGGTTTTCTAATAAACTGTTTGTAAATTGGATTTACTGTGTGCATCTTCATTTTTTGTTACAGCCATCCGGCACAGTTTGTAACTTAAAAAAAGAAATAAAGGGCACAACTGTTCATTCTGTATGATTTTCTATTTTTATTCTTTTATAATCACACAAGAGTCAACGTCTATGCCTCAATGCAAGTCTATCTGTGGAGGCAACCTGTCGAGTAGAGCTGTGTGTTTGCTGTAAACCAAGTTCCTCAGGTGATAAAGGTAATTAAGGCAAAGTAGGAACAAATAGCACAATTGTGAAGTGACTCGTATTTGAGAGTAAAGTTGAATGCTCTCATTGAAGCGGTGGATGCTCAAACAGTTATCTTTTCACTGGTGTTAAATCCAGATACATGAGATCAGTGTTAACTTCATATCAGCTAACATCGACCATAAAGGAGGAACATCACAGCAGCGCGATGTGGCTGCATAAGAATGACTGACACAAGAGAAAGATCAGAGTCATAATAAGGAAGTAACAGCTCAGTAATTACAGGAAGCAAACTCATGTGTTTAAGAAGCTCCAGTTTTGAGACTTTCATGAGAAGCAGAGAGAAAAGAGAGACGGAGAGGAACGATGGTGGAATCTAGATGGAATAAAGTGTTTCTTGTTTTGATGCTGGTGCTTCAGTTCACAGGTAAGGACACAAATAACATCTACATTACAGAGACAGCTTTTCCTTCTCATGCTGCTTTATCATGTAACCTTCATTTAATCATGTTTCTACAAGACACACTCTGAGTTTAGTTCCCTTTTGAAAGTCAGTGAGGAGACACATACATATAAAAAGCTTTCTTTGCTCACTTTAGTTAAACATTTGTTTCTCTGTCGTATCCTCAGGAGCTCTAAGCAGACAGCTTTCCCTCGACTACACTGTCAGAGAGGGAGATGAAGCCACTTTGTCTTGTGAGAATGTGATTAATGATCAGCGTAACTGTGACAAAACCACCTGGATCTTCAGTGACTCAAAAGTACAAGGATCAGTAGAGCTGGTTGATCTTGGACAAATTAAGAATAAGATCAAATCAGACAGACTGAGTGTTACAGAGAACTGTTCTCTGCTTATAAAGAAAGTTACAGTTGAGGATGTTGGTCGTTACACCTGCAGACAGTTTGACAACAAACCAGGGGGCGAACAAATAGGTGTTGATGCTGTGGTTTATCTGTCTGTTGTTACCTGTGAGTATTTACAACATTTTCAGCTCAAACTGTCTTGTTAGAACAACATCGTGACACAATACAATAATTCTGATGACAGTCATCAAGTTAATCTTATTTACTTTGTCTTTCTCTTGCAATCCATCTTCACCAGTGACTGAAAAAAAACACACTGATATCGTGACTTTCAGCTGCTCTGTGACAACAAGAGATCGATGCAGACGCACAGTGAAGTGGCTCTTTAAGGGTCGAATTGTGGATAGAGATTCTCCATTCCTACATATATCACGTTCTTCCTGCTCTGCTTCTGTGACCATTCTGACTTATCATTTTCAAAAGTTCACACCATATCATCAGTTTTTTCAGTGTAGTGTATCTAGAGTGACTAACACAGAGCAGCCATTGACCTTCAACCTTCGTCCATCAGGTGAGAAACTGAGATTATAATGAGCTGTTTCAAATCACTTCAAGTTATTGATGTGAATAATTGTATCAAATATTTGTTTTATGAATCAGAAGCTTTAATATTTCATCACACACAGACAGTTTGTGACTGAACAGTTTGCTGAGTTGTTTCCTTTTGTTCAGGTGAGGACACAAAAACAGCAACAACAACCGCAAACAACCTGGAAGTTGGTACAAACACGAGAGGACCTACAATAGACAACAATACAACAAAACCACACGGTAATGAGTCGACAATGTTTTACTACAATCTGTTTGTTTATGAATGTCAGACTGAAACTTTATCTTGATTTTAATGGAGACACCAGTACTTTTAGTTACTGATGGACTCTTTGTGTGTCTGTAACACAACAGAACCTTCAGGCCCTGATGGGACAAATTTACCAGGTAGGAACATATTTATCTATTTTCTGTAATATTTTCTGCTGTCTCTCACTTTATCTTTCTGTAAGATCCAAACTAGACGATAGATTCACTCAACAGTGCAATGTCAGGTTTAGTAGCTTAAGTAATAATAAGTGGAACTTCAGTTACATGTTTGTTTCATTTATTTGCTTTGTCAAAATGTGTGCAAACTGCCTGCACTGTATGAGGTGTTTGTACAAAACATAACTGTCTTGTTTGGTTAAAAGTACTCAAATAATTAAAAACACTATTTTTGCAGTTCACATGACATTTTCTACATTTCAAACTGTCTTGCCAAAATGTTTTAAACATTTACGGTATCATATTCCAGTTCTTTTGTGGTTGTACATCGTTTTGCCGTTGGTTTTAGTCGCACTTTTGATAATTGCTGTGAAAGTCATCAGATCGAGGAGAGCTAAAGGTGAGAGACTTTTTTTTTATTGTCACTGCAAACTTTTAACAGAACTGTATTTTCTATGTAAAGAAGTTTAAGTCTCTGAGCTTGTTTTCTCTTCTCTCTCTCTCTCTTTGCAGGAAAAAATACGCAAGGAAATGACACAGTTGTGAGTTTTAAAAAACGTTCTTAACTAAAAATTATTAATTCATAGCTGAGAAAAAACACAATAAGATTCTTAGACCTTCTTAGATTCTAAGTGCAATCTGTGTTGTATTAAAACAAACTGGTTTTAGCAACATACGTGAGAAAATGAGGAAAACTGCTAATCCACTTATAAACACAACAAATTACAGCATCTAAAGGATCGACTCATGTCCAACACAGTAACAGTAATAACGTAGTGATACAAGCTATGTACAGACAGTATTTGTGGTGGGACTGTTGTGAATGTTTCTGTTTGAATGTATCCACTGGACTAAAGCAGTGAAATTACTGATGTTTCAACCCTCATCTGTTATAGTACCTGTACTCGCACACCGTACAGATGTTGCTTGTATCGTTCCCTGCATTTACTGGACTGTGAAAGACATTTTAAACCAAATGTAATTCAGCTCTGTCTGTTCAGGCCCTGACCTCAAACCCTGCAGTGACTCAGCCTGTACCAGAAACCAGTCAGGCCATGGTGAGATCCCACACTACACCCAGTGCAAAGTAACAAGCCACGCTGCCTGTATTTTGTCTCCAAAATCTTAATGCATGTATAATATATTGTGGGATATATGTGTGCAAATGCTAAAAATGAAACCTAGAAAAGAACTTCTGCTGTCTACCCAGGGGTCAGAGCTAAAATAGATATAACACGACGTCATGCGCAGACATATTGAGTCAGTGTAGATCTGCGTCTTACTGATGGGTCATTATGTTGTCGTCACCGTGTAGGCTGATCCTGAGGATGGAGTTTCCTACGCCTCCATCAGCTACACCAAGAAAGCCGACAGTAAAGCCAAGGTCAGCTGTCTGATTGGTTGTTCTTCTCAGATCAGTGTATGAATAGAAATGTTTCATTGCGCTGTGGTTGGTTACATCAGATCACATCCTGTTTTTTTGCTTCCAGATACGGAGTAAAAATGACGCTGATGACGAAGCAGTAACCTACTCCACTGTGAAAGCTTCCTCCATTGATTCCAGCGTCCTCTACGCCACCATCAACCACCCAAACGCAGGTCCTTAGATCACTGCTTCTGCTCAGAGCTTCTTATCTGGAAAGGGTGTTGGGTGTTAGCTATAACAGAAAAGTGTAAAAAGCGGAAGTTATTGGTGGTTGCCTGAAATGTAGAACATATGAAACCTTTTGCTCGGTGTACTGTGGTAATGTTGGGTTTTTTTAGGTTACTGTTCAAGGTTTAGTGTACATCTGCTTTTACCTTTTTTTTTTTTTTTTTTAATGTATATTGACTGTTGTATATTGAAGTTTAGTTCCACCTATCATTATTGGATATGTAGTACTTTGGCCATTTATATCTTGGCTCAGTTAGTTTTTAATAACCTGGTGACACAGTATTTAAGCAAAACTGAAAGTTAGGAAAATGTGATGCGACTTATTTGAACCACATGGAAGATCTTGCAAGAAGGATGTCTTACACAAGAAATAGAAGTGTGAGAAACAGTCGCTGATGGTTGTTTTGAGGAAGCGGCTGATCACTAAAAGTAGATTGTGCATTTCTCTTTAAGATGCAACTGAAAAAAGAGGAATGACAGACAGAAATGCAGAAGGTTAAATTCAGATGAATTCAAATGTCACCATTTCAAATGGTGGTAGATGGCAGTCAGGATTTTTGGGGAATACTCACACTGTTAGCCTGAAAAATGGCCACAAGGATCTAATGTGCACATTGTTCAGCTCATTTATTATGTTGCTGTGATGCCACCTATGGGTGAAGCTTCATAAAGTTTACACACAGTTGGAGTCAGCAACCCAGCAATTTGATTTAGATACCATCTTATCATATACTGTCGTTATGTAAAGGGTTATATAGGCAAGGGCAAAAACTGTAAACATAAAAAAGATAAAATACAAAATATAGTACAGTAAAATTAAACTAATTACATTAAATAAATTAAAAACAACACAGAAAAAAAGCACAAACAGATTTTTACAAAATACTTCAAAGTGATTGACTAAAACGGTGGAAAAAACAAAAGATACGACAAATAAAAACATTTAAAAGAAAAGGGGAAATGGGGAAAAATAATCACAATAACAGAAGTGATTTTGCAGATACGTTTATTAAAAGTACTGGCAGTTTACTCCAGAGTTTACAAAATAAAATTGATTAATTTTAAGCCAGTGAAAAAAAGAACTGTCTTCAGCTTACTTCTAAAAGTGATAACATTTAGACAGATCCCATTTCTAGCGGGAGCTGGTTCTAGCAGCAGGCAGAATAACGATGAAACTCCATTTTACCACGTCTGATCTGAACTCACCGGTCTCTGCAGATCTGAGAGACCTTTCAGGCTCCAGCAAACATTTCTCTGATGTATTTTGTGGCCAAACCAATCAGAAACCTAAAGATAATAAATAGGGCCTTCAATTCAATTCTATATGTAACTGGAAGCCAGTGCAGGGACCTAAGAAATGATGTTAAATGTTCTCCTTTATTGGTGTTTGTCAGTATTCTAGCAGCAGTATTTCTAATGAACTGCTTAATGGCCTTATTTTGGAGGCCATTAAGGACTCATAGTCCACTCTACAGATCATGACAGCATGAAGGAGTTTTTCTAAATCTTGCTTTGACACAATGTTTTCATTTTTAAGCTACCAGAATGAGGATTTAGTCACAGCTTTGAGGTGGCTGCTGAAATTGAAATCCCCATCACTGATTACTCTGAGATTCTTGACCTCGTGTTTAGTGGACTCAAGGTTAACTGTGAGAGCCAGGAAGTGTCAACCAGTCATTGTGACCTTTGCAGTGCTGAAAGAAGTATTTCAGTATTTGATGTACATATTATGAGCAACATACTGTAAAGTATTAAAGTTCTCAAAATGTTTGGGAAAATGTGTATATGTGTTATGTTAATGATAATTTAAGTGATGCATTATAATTAGCCAGCTGCAGTGTCGCTAATTCTACTTATGGTTTATATTTTTAGTAGTTTGATTTACTGTATAACAATTTTCTGTGCTTTATATGCTCTTTATGTGGTTTACAACCTTTATCTGCAGTGTCACCGGTAACTGTACGTGATGTGGTGAAGCAAAAAGTAAAGTGTTTCCATTTGAAATGTAGCTACGTGTGAAAAATACTCACGTTGCTAAATGTCTTGGACAATAAAGAGGGGTGAAGATGTGATAAACTATGTACAGTATCACATAATACAGTGACATAAAAGCAAAATCAGCAGTGAATATTTTTATTACGATTATTATTATCTGTCTAAAAGGCTAACTAGCTGACATGTGAAGCCAGTAGCATTATGCTGTATTAGCTTGATGTAGCACTAGCTAACCATGTTAAAGTCTTTGCTACTGTAGGCTAAGCATCCCTGTCTATTGGTGATGTAACATTGTATTTAGATTAGAGATTTAAATGTCAATGATAAAAAAAAAAAATCTTAAAATTATAGTTTTTTTCATAGGTCCTTGCATTCTAAATTTACTGGCAATAATTAAAGCAGGTCAGGGCTCTCTTGAAAAAGAGATCATGCAATCTGAATGGGACTCACCTGGTCAAATAAAGGTTAAATAATCATAAAAACAATTTAAAAAATAATTAATTAATTCCCCCAAAGTTGTCTTTCTAGCATTTATGTTGGTGTTAAAGTCAGAAAACGTCACAGTTTGAAAAAAATAAGTTAATCTTTTATATAAGCAGCAGGTCTATATTAATCAAAATGACTAGTTAAGAGGCTTCTTCTCCCCAATTTATTTGCTTTACCACCCTCTTGTGTACATTTTGTATTAATATTCAACATCTTTATCTTTAAAGAAAACAGACATTGTTCTTAAAGTGGGCATCTTCTCCAGGTTTCGCTTTCTTTCACTGATATTTGCTTGTATTTGCGCAATACATGACCTGTAATTTATGCTATTTAAAAAGTCATACTGAATTTGTCACAGCTGTGTGATGGGTGAAAAAAAAAGTTAAAATGTGTCAAAATAAAAGTTGTCCTATTCATGTTTTTATCTCGCTTCCTTGTGAGCCTCTATTTTGAAAAGCCGGTAATCGAACCGGCATTGCCTGTGTGTTGACCCAGAATCGGTTTCTCTGGTGTGATGCTGGAAGAATTGTGGATTTGCTGCTGAATTTTTCTGCACATTGAAAGAATAACCACCACTCCGTTTTCCACGTCGGCTTTACCGAAACACGGGAGTGAATGGTAGCTGCTCGGTAAGTTCAGAGCGCAGAATGAGCGGAGAGGAGAGAAGCTAATGTTTGTTCAGGTGTCAAATGTCCGCCATAGCAGCGGCTGTAAACAACACAGCTAAGCTAGCTGGTTATCGACAGAGCAATCTCAGCGGTGTGTATTTCGAACTGCTAATTAAGCTGTTTTTACTTTGCACGACTAGCACCGTGAAGCATGCATGATTTAACATTAGTCTAAATTTACTGAGTCAAAGTTATCAACTTTAATGCCGCCATATCGCATGGCATTCCGGTTAGCATTTAGCATTAGCTAATGCTAGGTGCCGTAAGCTAACCCCTCGGCTGTGCGTCTGATTTTGGCTCCTGTCTGATTCAGTTTCGGTCTGACATGTCTGCTCCTCCTGTCAGATGTGACTCTGGCAGCCGTCGACCATGAGCAACAGTCACCCTCTGCGTCCATTGGCGTCCGTGTCGGAGATCGACCACATCCACTTGCTGTCGGAGCAGCTCGGAGCCCTGGTGCTCGGCGAAGAGTACAGCGATGTCACCTTCATTGTGGAGGGGAAGCGCTTCCCGGCTCACCGGGTCATCCTGGCAGCTCGCTGTCACTATTTCAGGTAGGTTGTAAATGTGTAGTCACATGGTTCATGGTCCCTTTTTGTAAATCCCAGATACATTAGTAAACTCACACTTATGATTACTGAAGTTCATAAACAGATATTCGGACTAGAGCCGAAACAACCATTTGATTAATCGTTTGATTTTGATCTTGTGTGATAGTTTGAGCAATCAGTTAATTGTTCAATCATTTTTAGTCACAAGTAGCAGGAATTTCGCAGTTTCAGCTTCTCAAGTGTGATCTGACTTTCTTGATATCTGAATGTTTTTAAATTTTGGACAGAAAGTCGTTTATCGGCCTTTATTAATCTACTGATTCCATCCATCCATCCATCATCTATACACCGCTTAATCCTCACTAGGGTCATGGGGCGCTTGAGTCTATCCCAGCTGACTTAGGACTTAAGGCGAAACACGCCCTGGACAGGTCACCAGTCTATCACAGGGCTACACTTAGAGACAGACAACCAAGCACACTCACATTCACACCCACGGACAATTTGGAATAACCAATTAACCTCAACATGTTTTTGGACTTTGTGGGAGGAAGCTGGAGAACCTGGAGAGAACCCGCTGCACGGGGAGAACATGCAAACGCCACACAGAAAGATCCCAGTGTCCTCGTGTGAACCGGCGACCTTCTTGCTGCGAGGCAACAGTGTTAACCAACTGCGCCACCTTGCAGCCCATCTACTGATTCTTTAGTTGTATATTTTAAGCTTTGTTGTGTCTTCATTCTGTCTGCTGTTTATTGCTGTATTTCTTACTAATGTTTCTTTTCACTGTGACGCATACCTGCACACATTTTACTCACATTTAGTTGACATTATATCAATAAGCTCACTGACTGCCTTTCTATGGGCAGTTTGTATTCACACAAGGAGTGTTTAGCACTCCATACAGTATGTATGGGATGTCGGCAGTCTTGATCTTGCCGATGTTGTTCATCATCATGCTTTTTAAATTAGTATTTCCATATGTTTGTGTTACAACTCTATAACAGTTTGTACGACTGTTACATTTGACAGAACAGGGCTGTGTGACATGTCAGTGAAGAAGATCATTTAAAAAACTAAAAGCTTTTTGCTTGTTTTTGCTCCATTAGGGCCTTGCTATACGGAGGGATGAAAGAGTCCCAGCCACAGGCGGAGGTGTGTTTGGAGGAGACGCGAGCTGAAGCCTTCTCGATGCTGCTAAACTACCTGTACACGGGCCGGGCCAGCCTCAGTTCTGCTAGGGAAGAAGTGCTGCTGGACTTCCTGGGCTTGGCTCATCGCTATGGCCTCCAGCCTCTGGAGGACTCCACGTCCGAGTTCCTCCGCACCATCCTTCATACCAACAACGTCTGCCTCGTTTTTGATGTGGCCAGTCTCTACTCTCTGAGCACGCTCAGTGCAGCCTGCTGTGCCTACATGGACAGACACGCACCTGAAGTGTTGAACTCTGACGGTTTCCTCACGCTCTCCAAGGTGAGATGTGGCAGGATAAAATAACTGTGTAAGAATAGTTGTAATCAGCATGCAGGTAGTGTAGTTTTGCATTCGAGTGGCCTTTATTTCTCCATACTCTGTAATGGAAAGTAATAGGTTTGGCATAAACTTTAAATACAGCGACCTCTAGTGGAAGTTAAGGCATTTCTATCTGCAGGTTTTCCAAAAACACTTCACAATAATTTTGTTTATTGAGAGACCCCAGAATGGATCAGGGAAGCAAACACTTCAATGACCTTAAAATGAATTAATCATTGTAACGTGGTTAATCCTACCAATATTTTTTACCACTTTGAGCCTCTCATTTTAACTGATTATGTCACAGGGAAGCACTGACAAAAATGTGATATATTATAATTATCAATAAATTCATGAATTCATCAAATGATTATAGGCCTCATCGTCCTACTGGTTTTCCATCATCCCATTACCTGTTTGATTATAGAGCAGATATTAAATCGCAATCAGCTGGTATTAATGGTTTGAAAGGTCTTGACATTTGTTTTCGGTCACCGTGCTGAAACCCTGTAAACTGTTTTCAGGCCCAAACTGATTTTTATCTACTTTGTTAATCCGCTGTAGCAGATTTGAGATTTTGTATTTCAAATGTCATGTAAGCATTTTATTAATTTTACAGTTTTGTCTGAAACAATCTATCCTTTTTTTTGCCCTGAATGATTTATTGAAGTACCTGTGTTTGCAGACTGCTCTGCTGACGGTGGTCAGACGGGACTCGTTTGCTGCCAGTGAGAAGGAGATCTTCCAGGCTTTGTGTCGCTGGTGCCGGCAGCATGAGGACGGGGCTGACACGCATGAAGTAATGTCAGCGGTGCGGCTGCCGCTCATGACTCTGACAGAGATGCTGAACGTGGTGCGACCTTCTGGCCTTCTGAGCCCAGATGACCTGCTGGACGCCATTAAAACCCGCTCTGAAAGCCGAAATATGGATCTTAACTACCGGGGAATGCTCAGTTAGTGCTCTTTATCCTTTGTTTGATTAGTACCATTATTGCTAATAAGAATACTGTCAAACATCGATAAAAATGAAATCATATCAATTTACTTTATGCATCAATGTAGCATTTTCATTCATATAGCATTCTCTCTTCCCTGGTTTTCAGTCCCAGAGGAGAACATTGCCACCATGAAATATGGAGCTCAGGTGGTAAAAGGAGAGCTGAAGTCAGCGCTGCTGGACGGAGACACCCAGAACTACGACCTGGACCACGGCTTCTCCAGACATCCCATCGAAGAGGACGGCCGGTCAGGGATTCAGGTTAAACTGGGTCAAGCGTCTATCATCAACCACATTCGTCTGTTGCTCTGGGACAGAGACAGTCGGTACGAAAAAGTTTTCTCCCCCTGTTAAAGTCAGCAACAAGAAAATATTTACACCAGCATATTGTGGGTTGAATTTCTTTAGACATATGTAGAGTAGCTCATTTTATCTTCATTGACTGAATGCACTGATGTGTAGTTTTGCTGGTTTAAAAAATAAAAACTGACAGGGTTTGAAGAGGGCTTATCTGAAATGTGCAGTTTGAAGCATGTTAGAGAGTGTTGTTTTAAACCCACTGGTAGGAAAAAAATCACTGCTAATACAAACTGATTGTCAGTTGATTTATTATTTTACTGGAGGTATTCTTTGTCTGGCACAGTTCTTAAGAAACATATAGTAATTGTTTGCTTTATAATGATCCTCATGATACGGATTTTATGTGACGTTGATGAACTGAATCTGGGTTGGTCTGTGACTTAAAATATCATCCATGGTTATTCATCCAGATCTTACTCGTACTACATCGAGGTATCTATGGATGAGCTGGACTGGGTGCGTGTTGTGGACCACTCCAAGTACCTGTGCCGCTCGTGGCAGAATCTGTACTTCACACCACGTGTCTGCAGGTAACCTAAACCAAACTATACAGGTGCCAGTTCTAACATCATTCCTTGGCCCAAGCTGTTGTGGAAAAGGTGACTCTGTAGCATATTATATATCTTCACTCTACTTGTTTGCAGGAATATCACAACTCTTAAGTAGGGAACACATGCACACGTGGTTAGGGAATCTTTTTCCATTCTGTGTTCTTGCTGGGCTGATTAGTCAAAGCAAATTTGGTTGCATCTCTGTGATTTTTGCTGAGCACAAAGGGCTTGTTTGTGCTTTCTGGAATAATTTACCTTCACGTTTCTATGTGTAACTTTCAGAGAACCCTTGTTATTAATAACGAACAGTGGCTGTTAGGTGAACTGCAGTCAACATCTTGTTGAAGGTGCTTATGAATATGGATAAATGTCACATCCTTTGGATTTCCTTGAAAAGGTGTCCTGCAGTCCTTTATGTAGAAATCAGTCCACAGGTAACTAAGAAAGAAGAGGAAGGTCTCATGTTTTGAGTTGTGTTAGAATCTGTTCACACATTGACCAAATGTAGGAAATGATTATGTCTTCAAATCTACAAATAGTACCTTTAACCTGGTGGACAGTTAAGATGTGTTTTGAAGTTGTTGCCTTTATTCTCAGTTTTTAGCCACCACACTGATGTTTGCCAGGCAGAGGACAGAGAAGCATATTTTGCAGCACTTATACAGTCTTTTGGTGCTTCCTGAGTAGAAATTTTGTTGTTTTCACTTTATCAGAAAAGCCTGCATGAAGCTGGAGGCGCTCCAGATTTGAAATATTGTGTAATGCCCATTACCTGGTAAAGATAA